GGTATCTCTGGATGAGATGATTTTAAACTATTTAACTTTTGAGCTGTCAATTGATTAAGAGACACTGGGATATCAGGTAAATGCTGATGAGCACAATAATAGGACAGTACAGGAGGAGGAGCTTCAACCAATTCCAGGAACATGTACTGGAATCCAAAGTGCCTAATAACAAGTATGTAGGTACAGGTACAGTATGTACAAGGTGTGGTTCTCACCTTAGCCTCTCCATTGGAACCTTAGATCTGTAATTAGAGAGTGGATTAGAAGGATTAATATCCATATTAACCCTAAGATTCATACTATCCCTCACCTGATGAGAGGAGAGAGGGAGGAAGGTGTGTATGGAAAAGGAAAGAGGGAGGAGAGGAACATAAAGCAATAGACACATAACGAGAAATAGTGCTTACCTAATAAAGGAGAAGTATCTTGATTAATCTAGATCTACTTTCAAAAATAAATGAAACCAAATCATGTCCACATGAAGAACCTATGTCCTTATTATGTAACTACATGAGAAAGGAAAGAGAAAGAGAGGGAAAGGAAAGAGAAAGAGAGGGAAAGGAAGAAAGAGGGAAAACAGAAGTATATGCATGTACAAGATGAAATGTTGAAAGAGTAGCAATACATCATTTGTGTATATGCATCTCTTACAAGTGTTAGGATTGGTTCTTAATTGGTCTCTTAAACCCAACTTAAAACATAATCATCATCACTGTCTTTCTTGTACTTCTTTATTTTACTTTATATTCTAACATACACTCTGTACATGATGAAACACAAACTACATTATTCTCATGAAGTCAGGACCATCCACTAATTTAGTTTGATGGTTAGGCTTGACAAAACTTGGTATAATCTTGGACTCACATAGGCTGGTAAGCATCAAAGATGTAATAAAAATTGTTCATTCTTTGAGAGCACATTTATAGTACTTTAAGTTTCAAACCTTTTGCAATTTGCATACCGCACAGCTAGAACTAAACTTGCGTCATTTTGGGGTTATTTTGAGATTTGCAAAATTAAAATCCACAAAAAATCTAGATAATAAAGCACAACTGGCAGAATGGTTTAATAATAAAAATTAAATACATGAAAATGATTTTTGGGTGGAACAGCAAAAGTTTAATTCATAAAAAGTTTCCAGCTAAATGGTAGCATATGGCATCTACATTATAAGACATAAGAACATAAATTTAAAACTAAAATTCCAAATTAAAATCATCAAGTGCAATGTCATCATCATTAGTTCTAACTCTTTTCACAGACTGTTCTAACTGAAGTGCACCCTCCAGAGCTGTTGTCCATTTTTCCCTCAAGAGATTAGCAGCAAATTCTATTGGTCCCCCAACACTAGACAGAGCCTCAAGATACTTCACACAATGCTTCTCTAGGTCAGACTTAGAGTCCAATAGATTCATCATAGATAGAAAACTTGAGGCTATAGCATCATAAGTAGGTGACCTCTGAACCTGCTTGGTAATGATTTTAGCTTCAAACAGTTTGTTAGCAATTTCTTTAAGAGAACTTTCCAAAAGTTCTGCAAAGTCTGCATGATTCTCGTTCATAACCCTTTTAATCTTTTGCTTAGCTGCTTTAATATCAAAACCTATAACAACAATAACACAGGCAATAGTTATAATGTATATGCAATGTAGCTATCATAGTGTACCTCCTTCTCTTCTTCTTTTAACAGGTAGAGTTCCATTACTACCACTACTACTAGCAGCATCTAATGTACACTAAATAAATAATAGTAAATTGGCTTAACATTACCTGCAGTAGGATGAGTAGTTCTTCGTGACCTGTGAATATACAGTGTAACAGGCTTAGCCACACCTTCTATTGGGACAGAGTAGTGCAATGTTGGAACAGCATCAGGTGCTCCATAAACTG